TTGTTGGACTGTTACTGGATGCATGTAATGAACTTATATTGTCGCGCTTAAGGATGCCACGTATACATCAGTAAAAGACCCAAGTAATTGGGTGTTCTACCAAAGACTAATGTATGTAAATGTCTGCTCAGATATGTACAACAATAATAGCAAGGTTTCAGGCACAGCTGTGCAACTGGATATATCTAATGTATATACATTTATAATAGGATAGAGCTTAAATTGAGCAATATAGACTGAAATAGTTGATTAGTTATTTATTCCAACAGAAAACTCAGGTCTCTGTGTTTTTTTGCTTAGGTACGTGCAGCCCCCTGTGATCAACCTTTCTTCAATTTACAAACACAGCACAGCTTTGTCTCCCACCGTTTTCATCTTGAGCCCTGGCACTGACCCAGCCAGTGATCTCATGAAACTGGCAGAGGCATCAGGCTTTACAGACAGGTTCAAGATCCTTGCAATGGGCCAAGGGCAAAATAAGGTACTGAACATGTTCTGCTGTATATGCTAGCAGTTCTTCCCCTGAAATGAAAACCTTTGGTTCACTGTTTGGTTTTTATCATGAAGGTGTCACTAGATCTGTTAAAAAGGTCAGTCATTCAAGGTCATTGGCTGATGCTGCAGAACTGCCACTTACTGGTGAAGTGGTTAAAAGAACTGGAGAAGACATTGGAACAAATCAATGATGCCAACCCCGACTTCCGCTTATGGATCACAACCAATCCCATCAAGGAGTTCCCTGTTGGCATTCTACAAAACTCTCTGAAGGTGAAACACATTTCCTAACCTTCTGAGATGCTGTTTTTTCTCCATTCCTTCTTGATCCCGTCAGTGAATAAGTCTATAAGACTGATTTACATATTTTAGCTTTATGTAATGACATCATTAAGGCAGCAGAGATAAATCAAATGTAACTATCGAGTAGTCTTCTAAAAATATCTGTTACTTTACACTAATAATAATTTGCAAAACTTTCTATAGCTCTCTGCTAATGTACTCAGACTATTTGGACCTTTTGATGTTTTTTTATCTCATCACCCTCATTATAACTAATAGAGTTTTAGAGATAGAGTTGAAGTAAAATTATTTAATCACTTGAAAATAGAAGCATTTATTTTTTAATTAGCATCCATCAAACCTATTTTTCCCACCTTTACAGTTGCGGGACCCTTTGGTGCGTCTCTAGTAGCTTTTCTACATCTACAGACCTCCTCACTTTTTCAAGCAGGATAGCTTAAACTTGGTCATGTTGGATGGATTTTGTTTGTAATCATTTGTCATCCAAAGGTCAGATGTAAAGCAACCATAGATGCCAGGTGAAAGACATTTGGCAATCAGTAAAGAAGCCTGCTTGCTTTTAAATTAGATTTGATCATACTTAAAGTCGTAGGGAAGTCATATTTAAATTTAAATCATTCTGACTTAAACATATATGTAAATGTACTCTTTATCATACCATATTGTCCAGAAATGTAGAAAATTTCTATTTAAAAAAAAAATCCCGTCTTAAAATCTGTTTAGTTTTTTCGTTATCTTCTGCAGGCCAGTTAGTTATATGTCAGCCTGAACACCTAAATTCGGCCAATCATATATCAACGGTCATCTGTCAATCAAATTTTTTCAGTCATAGCATCTTGATTCATATGCATGTTTCCTCTGTCCATAGCGTTCCTTGACAGTGTCGTTTCTAAGTCACCAGTTTAGTGATACTTGGTCCCAATGGAATTTCCCATTGGGAACCTACTAGCACTAAGTTGCTAACTGGTTAGCAAGATGCTTTTGACTAACCGGCCACAACCAAACTTGCTTGCGAACTTTCCGTCACAACAATCCCGCCCCCTTGATAAACGACCAATCATATTCACTTTATTAATTCGTGTAAAGTCGTTCACCACTCGGGAGAATTCAGAAATGCAACAGTTGGAAAAGCTGCTTCCCCACGACTTGAAAGCAAAACTTCACAAGTGAAATAATGTGAATGTTTTTGGACATGGATCCCCTCTAAAATAGTATTTTTCTATGTAGCTATAAGAAAATCACGTTCACAAACAATTTCTAGACATGTAAATCCTTTTTGACGTTGTTTGTAGGTAGTGACGGAGCCCCCCAGCGGTCTCAAGCTCAACATGAAGGCCACGTACTCCAAAATCTCGCCTAAAATCTTGGAGGCATGTCCACATCCTATGTTCAAAAGCTTGGTGTATGTGCTGGCCTTTTTCCATGCCGTGGTGCAGGAGAGGAGAAAGTATGGAAAGACTGGCTGGAATGTGCCCTATGACTTCAGCGAGTCAGACTTCTTTGTAAGTGGTGCAACTCTTAATTTACAGAAGTGCAAAACACTTCTAAGCTTTGTGTTGATGTAGCTCTCCTTAACAGGTTTGTATGGAGATCCTGAACACCTACCTGACTAAAGCATACAGGCAAAAAGATGGTAATATCCCATGGGAAGGCCTGAAATATCTCATTGGAGAGGTAAGGCTGTGGTATGAGCTCTTCTGCGTTCTTCCTTGTATGATTTCAGATGCTACAAACGAAATTTGTACCTCTCACTAGGTGATGTATGGCGGGCGAGTTATAGATAGCTTCGATCGCAGGATCCTGACTGTCTACATGGAAGAATACTTTGGGGATTTCCTCTTCCATACCTTTCAGAAGTTCCACTTCTTCAGAAACAAAGATGCAGTTTACAAAATACCTCCAACTGGGCCAAAGGCAGCATATGTTGGTGAGCTCCTGCCTCAGCTCTCTGAAGTAAGACAGACAACAGCTCAGTGTTTGCCTGCACTCACGGCTTTAACCTGCTTTGTCTTACAGCTGAGATTAATAGCATGCCGCTGGTAAACACACCAGAGGTTTTGGGTCTTCATTCCAATGTAGAGATAGAATATAACACCCTGGCTGTGAAAGAGATGTGGGCTCATCTGATAGACCTTCAACCTTGGACTGGTATGATGTGTTTCTCTACTGGAATTTCACAGACCACTACTACCAAAAACCATTTTGTTGATGTATACCCTGTATGAGAACTTCTTCACTTTCAAAAAACTAAGATTGGAGGCATTTTTGTGTGCTTTATTTCCCCTTTAAAGGTGAATCTAGTGGAAACCTTACGAGGGAAGAGCAGATAAGCCAGGTGGCCCAGGACATCCAGAGCAAACTTCCTGAGCTGTTTGACATAGAAGTGATTCATAAAAAGTTTGGCACAGATGTGTCTCCGACCTCAGTGGTTCTCCTTCAGGAGCTCGAACGCTTTAACAAACTGGTGGCTTGCATGCAGCAGTCTTTGGCTGAGTTGCAAAGGGTGAGACTGGGGACATTAGAAACATGCATGCATCGTGTCTTTGGCCTTTTAGTCCATCTCTAGAGCATTCAGGTGTGTCTTGTTTTCTTTAGGCCTTAGTTGGCGAGGTGGGAATGAGCAGTGAGCTGGAGGATGTGGCTCAGGCCCTTTTTAACGGCCACATTCCTGCCATTTGGAAGAAGCTGGCACCTGAGACTTTGAAGTCCCTTGGAAACTGGATGAGCCACTTCAAGAGGCGTCATGAGCAATATAACTACTGGGTAAACATGGTCAAAAAGACACCTTGATTTTGGAAAGTATGCCATAATAGTACAAACAAAGGACTACTATATAAATTTTGACCGAGGCAATAGGCTGATTTGAGATCTACTGAATAATATTTCATGCCCATATGCAGTAATTGGCCCGGATTGATGCTTTGGGCTGTCTGCTCACCTTAGGGTTGGATAATGTAGTCAAAATTATGTAGTCAGTTTCAGTCGATACGATATAACTTAGATGTCAATCTAAATAATCAATTTAAAAATATTCCAATATAACATTTTAGAAATAATCCTTAAAAACACACACACACATCTAACTATTTATATTTGGATCTAGAAGATCAACAGAATAAATCTAAAAAAAAAAAACCCAGGTTATTTTCTTTCTCTTCTCATGTCCATGGGATCTTTTTATGATTCTGATTCCTTTTTAAAAAAAAATATCTTTCATATGTTTGAGAAGAGAAATACATCTAAGCCTCCAAGCTACACTGTGTAATATTTGCAGAGGTTTATTTAAAGAAGTATGTTGCTTATTGTCATTTTATTTTATTGTCATTGATGAACTGAAAGTCGCTGCCTTAGAATTTGCTAAATATAATTACATAGTATGGGTTTTGCATTTATGGAGGCAGACATATTTGCCCAACAGAGCTGGATAACTAGTGACAGTACAGATCAACATTACACTCAAACTGGACAGCAGCAGGTTAGGCCTATATACAATCTATATCTTACACAGACTCTCTATGTAAGCTATCATTATCATCAGTTGACAAGATCTGTGATGTGAA